CTATGAGGCTGCCGCGCGCGAGCGGCAGGGTATCGCGCAGCAGCTGTCCGAGTGGGGCGAAGCGACCGGCGACGAGACCATTTCGGAGATCTCAGACAAGCTGGGCGTGCTGCTGGCGGAGATCGCAGAGCAGGAAGATCTCTACGCGCAGGGGCTCGAGGAATACCGCGGCGTTCTGAAGCAGATTCGCAACACGGAGAGCTCTGTACAGCCGAGTCGAGACCACAAGGCCAAGGCATGTTCCGGGGTCAGGCGCTAGCATTGGCTATACTAATGATGTCACAGGTGTCCGATGAGATTGCCAAGCTGAAGTACAAGGAGCCCCAGAGTACTAAGATCGTCCAGCTTGAACAGGAGCTCGTGCGCGCGGAGGCCCAGAGCTTGGTCGCCGAGGCACAGCTCAGCAACATTGTAAGGCACTTCGATGTACTTCCCGAGCATTACTCACCTCTCCTAGACGCGCCAAAAGTTCAAAGAGGCATACGACCACCACTTCGCAGCCACCATCGAGCGCGCAGAGAAGCAGATCATCCTGGCCAAGCATGCTCGCCGGCTTCTGAACCTGGTCGACGACACCCCGATCGTGCCTGGCGACACACACCCTGCATTTGCGGAAGTGGAGGCTGCTCGTCAGGTCCTCAACGACGCGGAGACGGATCTGCAGAGCTACCGCCTAGACGTCGAGCCCATCACGTCCAACTCCGGGTCTCTGGGGGTGGGAGCGATGCCCGGCAGCGCCCCTGGCACCAGTGTGGCGGGACAGCCGCCTACAGTGGACCAGACGTACAGCGAGAGGAGCGTTAGTGGCGAGGAGCAGCGCTACGACCGCGAGAACACAGCGCCGTACCCCGTGTCCGACGCCGAGAAGGCGGAGAGACACGAGCCTGTTCCGATTTCGACTGCCGTCTAGGAGCGGTTCCAGTATGGATGTGGTTGATAGTTGGCCTTGGACTTTCGCTGACCGTTGGGAGTTCCTGTTAACCTGGGGAAAGGGTAATAGCTAGTGGGTTTCGGTAATACATGACGTTTGGTTGTTTACGTGCTGTTCAATGTTGTGATGCCCACCTGGGTCGTGAGATGCTAGTGGACAGAGGGCCGTGCGCGATGCGGCGGGGGCTACGTTAGCTCGGAATGTGCCGCGCTCCCAAGAAGACACATCAAAGCTCCAACCTCCAGCTCAAATTCCGCAGCGTCCCCGTCCGCACTCACCTACACCCTCACCCCCACCTCACCCCCCACCACCCCGAACAGCGCTGCCCTCACCATGGCGGACCGCAAGAGGAAGGAACGATATGCGGGCGCGGCGTACGAGTTCGGCGCCAATTCCAGTGGGCAAGCTGGCGCGGTCTCTGGCCTTCCGCCAGCTGCCCCGGGCTATGGAGCGCCTGCAGCGCCTGGATATGGCGCCCCGTCTCCAGGCTATGGGGGCGCCCCGGCGTCTGGCTACGGCGCGCAACCAGCACCCGCCTACGGACAGCCCCCGGCCCAGGACCCCAACGCGCTCAACCAGCAGTTCGGCCAGATGAACATGGGCGCCCAGCAGGCACAGGCGGCGCCGCAGCTACAGCAGCCCACGGCGGCCACGCAGCAGAACCAGCTGTTCCCCTCGGACCTTATCGCCCAGCCCTTCCACGTCTCGGAGCTGTACAGCCCCCCGCCGCCCATCCACCTGCCATCGAACGCGGCCGCCACGCCCTCGGAGTTTGCCAACGAGTCGAGCAAGTACCTGCGCTGCACGCTGAACACCATCCCCACCAACCACTCGCTGCTGAAGAAGTCCAAGCTGCCGTTTGCGCTGGTCATCAGCCCCTATGCCTCGCTGCACGACTCGGAAGACCCCGTGCCGGTGGTGCACGACCAGGTCATCAGCCGCTGCCGGCGCTGTCGAGCATACAGTAAGTGGCACGCCGCGCATCTGTCCCATCGCCTCCGCTGACCCGGGCCTGCAGTCAATCCATACGTCGTACGTCCCGCCGCGACCACCCACCCGCAATGCTCCGCGTGCTGATACAGTGGCTAGTCATTCCTCGACCACGGACACAGATGGAGGTGCAACATGTGCAACCTGACAAACGATGTCCCCCAGGTGCGTGTCCAGAGGCCACCCCGGAGGAGCCCGGGCGAAGAAGCGTTGGCTGACTGGCACATCACAGGCATTCGACTGGGACGCAGCCCAACAGAAGAGCGTAAGCCTTTGCTCGCCCTGCTTGTTCCGCGCTCCTCTACTGACCCGTCCAGGTCGACCGATGGCAAAGGCCAGAGCTGAACTACGCCGTCACCGAGTTCGTTGCGCCGCAGGAATACATGGTCCGGCCTCCACAGCCCCTGTGCTACTACATTGTGCTCGACTGCACACAAGCAGCAGTGAACTGCGGGCTTCTGGCTGTTGTTTCGCGAGTCATCAAGGAGTCTCTTGGACGCATTCCCAACGCAGACGGGAGAACGCGCATCGGCTTCATGGCCGTCGACTCGGGTCTGCACTTCTTCTCCATCCCAACAGACAACAGCGAGAACAACGATCCCCAGCAGCTGGTCGTGACCGACCTTGAAGAGCCCTACCTGCCCATGCCCACAGATCTACTCGTCAGTCTGAGTCAGTGCCGCACCAACATCGAGAACTTCTTGGACCGCCTCCCGGCAATGTTCCAGAACACACACGTTCCTGGCTTCGCGCTTGGCTCAGCTCTTCGCTCCGCCCACAAGCTCATCTCACCTCTGGGTGGAAAGCTTACTGTCATCGCCGCATCTCTTCCCAATGTCGGACACGCTGCACTGAATCCTCGGGAGGACAAGTCTCTCTTGGGTACTGGCAAGGAAACCAGCCTCCTGCAGCCTGCGAACAACTGGTACAAATCGTTTGCCGTCGAGTGCTCTAAGAACCAGGTCTCAGTCGACATGTTCTTGTTCTCGTCACAATACCAGGATGTCGCAACACTCAGCAACCTTCCACGTTTCACTGCAGGGCAGACATACTTCTATCCTGGATGGAATGCCGCAAGACAAGAGGACGTTGTCAAGATCGCGACCGAGCTGGCGGATTACCTCTCGGCTGAAATCGGCCTTGAAGCTGTGCTCCGAGTCCGCGCCACAACCGGATTGCGCATGTCTGCCTTCTACGGAAATTTCTTCAATCGCTCCTCCGACCTCTGCGCGTTTCCCGCCTATCCAAGAGACCAAGCAGTCGTCATCGAAGTCGCCATTGACGAGACAATCAGTAAGCCGTTTGCATGTCTCCAGGCGGCTGTTCTTCACACGACTTCGGGTGGCCAGCGTCGTATCAGGGTACTGACTCTTGCTGTACCCACCACCGAGAGTTTGGCTTCAGTATACGCTTCCGCAGACGCGCAAGCGATTACCACGTATTTCAGCCACAAGGCGGTCGAGCGCGCTTTGTCTAGCGGCCTTGACGCTGCTCGTGATGCCCTCTCGGGCAAGATCATTGAAATCCTGTCTACATACAGGAAAGAGCTGGCGGGTGGTAGCATGGGTGGTGGTGGTCTACAGCTCCCCCAGAATCTGCGCGCTCTTCCTATCCTTTTTCTTGGTCTGATTAAGAACGTTGGTCTCAGGAAAAGTGCCCAAATACCTTCCGATCTTCGATCAGCTGCTCTCGACCTTCTTTCGACGCTCCCGCTGCGATTACTGACGCAGTACATTTATCCCAGCTTCTACAGCCTTCATGTACGTTTTTTTCAAACACTAACGATTTACCTGACTAATCATCACCAGGATATGCCTGATGATGCAGGTGTACCAGAGCCTACTACGGGTCAAATTACAATGCCTCCTCAATTGAACCTGAGTAGTGCCGCAATCGTACCATATGGGCTATACCTGTTGGATGATGGTGTCAACCAATTTCTGTGGGTCGGTCGTGATACTGTTCCAGCTCTTCTTGCAGATGTTTTCGGTGTAGAGGACCGCACACAGCTGAAGCAAGGGAAGGCAACCTTGCCAATTTTGGACAATGAGTACTCTGAGCGAGTACGAGCAGGTGAGTCACTTCCAGCCCATTCGAAAAGACCTGTGAAATACTCACACTCGCACAGTCGTTGAGAAGTCAAGAGACCACAAGTCCAAGGGGGTAGGCTCAATCGCCTTGCCTGCATTGTATATTGTCAAAGAAGACGGTGACCCGAGCCTCAAACTGTGGGCGCAGACACTACTGGTCGAAGACCGCGCAGACCAGGGCGAGAGTATTGTCCAATGGATAAGCAAGCTCAGAGAAAAGGTAAGTCCAGAAAATGAGTCTACTCGACCAATCTAATTGGATGCTGATTCGATTCTTAGGTCGTGCAGTAAGCGTGAAAACACTGGCACGCATTCGGCTGTGGGATGAGCATGAAACATTTGAAGCGGGCTGAGTTGGGTGGTTATACGGTCAGGACATGCTACAGGCATGCATCTGGACCATTCAGCACCTTTATCGACATATTACCAAATCCTACTAAACATGAAAGTTCTGTAGTCTGTGCCTCGGGTGCGACTCGACATTATCGTGGTGTTGTACTGTCTACTGCCGTGCGGCAGGAAAATGCCTGTCATTGCCTCAAGCTACACAAATGGAGGAATGCCTGTGCAACATGTACGACGTGGTCCAATATTTTTGTTGTTGAGGGGGTTGTTGGGTATATCCCAATCAGGAGGCGAGCTTGTCGCGAGAGTGCGTGAGATCTTCTTAAGCGGCCGGCTTTGCTCCCACTCGAGTTGGAGTAGTCAACTTTTAACGCTGCGACGATAACAACTTCGTAGCAGTCAGAGAAGCCACGAGACTACCAAGTCTGTGTCACCTCCAGGCAACAATGAAGATAGTGGGGCTCGGACTAAGCGCCGAGGTGCGGGGATCTGCCACGTAACATATGCTGAGGTGAGGTTAATGATACGTCAACATGGCTCTCTGCCGTCAGTACTACTCACAGCCAGGCGAGGGTACTTCTCGCACTCGAGTGTTTATAAAGCAAATAATGGCAGACTTCATCATCAGAAGCTTATCAGCTCACGGGCCGGTAACTCAGTGGTAGAGGTTTGTACAATCTCGGCCGCTCATCACAACGTCATCTAATGCTACTCAGTGTAGGATTGCAGTTATCCAAAGCCGTTCATCCCGAAGTCACCGGTTCGACTCCGGTTCGGCCCTGACTTCTATATTTGTTTTTGCCCAATTTTGGTCGTTTACTTGGAGCTAAGTAGCGTTGGAGTTTTGCATGGCTTGACGCCCTTGTTCGTCAGCCCTTGCAGGTCGATTCGGCTCAGTTCCGCGAACAATGTGGCTACCCCTCAACACCATGCAGCTATCGCCACCACGACCAAGTCTGCGGGCGGCTGATCGCTTCGTCTGGTTCGCTAGATAGGTGCTGGCTGCATAAGCCGGGAGGACTGAACCACGCCGCGTTTCAGGTGTAGTTGATTGCGTATGCTGCTACCATCTCCCTTTTGCTTTTGTAGATGGCCTCTGCTCCACACACGCTGCAAGGAGCCAGGCAGGGACCACGGTCCAAGGCGCCATCAGGTGACACAATGGGCTGCATCTCGGCCATAAGATGACTGTGCTGACACAGTCTGCAAAGCCTGCGCTGTGGTGTGTCGCTGCAGTCCGGCCGAAGCACGGATGCTAGTCGTTCGCTTCGGCAAGGTACAAAAGGTACGACAGATTCTGTGGATCATGTTCGAGTCCCCCTTGCATCGACGGCGCTTGCCCACGCTCCTAGCTCGCATCTGACTTGGTGTTGGAGCGGGGCCAGCAAACCTCCCGAGTCGCTCTGGGAGCACGTGAAACGTGTCAGCGTGCTGCGCTCTTTGGCAGTGCGGCGCTGTGTTTCTGTTCCGTCATCACTATACTGCAGACGAGAGGGTGATGCGGGCGATGCGTGGATCTGCACGCAAAAGGGCCATGGCCGCATGGGATCTGTGCAGACCCCAGCCGCCCTGGCAGCCCGGCCTTCAGGGCGCGATAGAGCCGCTAATCGTCTCGTCCGTGCCATACCTCGCAGCCCCTCCTCGCATGCAGTTGCAGTTGCAGCGCACGCAAGACTCCCTCTCGCACCGCCCGCTGTTCCGTTCGCTGGCCCGCCTGCATCGAGCCTGTGCATCCCCAGAGCCGCACGCCGCTGCTCGTGCTCGTGCATCGAGTCCCATAGGAGGGGCTAATCTGCCCGCCACCTGAGGCACACGCCCGCGCCTTATCGCATGCCCTGCCCTAACCTGACCTCCAAACTCCAAACTCCGGACATCCGTCTGCACCTGCACCATCACCACCGCCGTCGCACGCCCGTGACTGCCGGATACCCCCTCCCCCCACAGCCCAGTGCTGTTGCGTCGAGCCTCCCCCACCGGGCGCTGCGGCCGGATGTTGTTGCGACGCCGCTCTCCATTCGTCATCACAGCCGCCTCAGCCTTCGACGGGCACCCGCTCGCAGCAGCGTAGCCCACGACCACAGTAGCCCATCCCCGTGCCTGCCATGTCGGCCTTCCACGCGGTCAACACGACGTTGACGGTGCCGGACGTGCCGTCGGGCCGCGCGGGCGACGAGACGACGCCCACGACGCCGCGCCCCAACACCAGGTTCTTCCCCGACTCCAAGGGCGGCGACGACACGCGCGCCGAGGACCCCTCGGCGAAGACGCCCACGCGCAACACCTTCGCCGCCGGCCTTGCCGGCCAGCGCCCACTGCCCGGCTCGCCCTTCACACCCTCGCGCGACCTCAGCGAGACGCCCTCGACCAAGAGCGAGCTCAGCCGGGGCGACTCGCACAGGTCGGCCCAGTCGGTAGCCTCGCAGCACGACATCGAAATGGGCGAGGGCGAGGGCGAGGCCGACGACGACGACAAGGACGGCTCCGACAACGACAGCGCGACGAGCGACACCGCCCGGCCCTCCAAGAAGAAGAAGGGGCAGCGCTTCTTCTGCACCGAGTTCCCCCCGTGCAGCCTGAGCTTCACGAGGAGCGAGCACCTGGCGAGGCACATCCGGTACGTCGTCGCCCCCTGCACGAAACGGCAGACAGCCCTAGCTAACACTGCCCAGCAAGCACACGGGCGAGCGGCCCTTCCAATGCCACTGCTCGCGGCGCTTTTCGCGCCTCGACAACCTGCGACAGCACGCCCAGACGGTCCATGTCAACGAGGACATACCCGCCGAGTCGCTGGCCGCCACGGGCACCCGCTTCCAGCGGCAGATCCGCACCGACCGCGTCCGTCCACCGGGGAACCGCTCGCGGGCGAACACGCTGGGCAGTACGGGCGGCCACAGCAGGGGCCACAGCAGAAACCTCTCGGCCTCGAGCATAACCTCTGGCATGTCCACCATCAGCGTCGCCCAGTCGCCCGACGTGCGCCGCCGACCCCCGCCGCTTGCCATGGCCAGCGACGGCGCCGCACGCGCGCGCCTGTCGCTGAACACCATGGATGCCTACAATCCGCCGCTGATGGGCAGTCCGGGGCCCCAGATTGTCGACTACGACTCGCACTCCAACGCCCCCACCACACCGACCTCCGCCACCTTCTCCGCTGCCGCCGGCAGTCCCGCCCGGTTTGGCTCCGCCATGCAGTCTCCGGTGTCTGCTTCTTCAAGGCCCGTATCATGGGCGGGCCCCCCACCTTCAGCCCGACGGCTGTCGAATCCAGCTGGGGGCAACCCCTTCGCTGGATTGCCAGGACAGGCCCCTCCCCCGTACATGACACCACTGCAGTCTTCGACCGCCTCGGCCTTCTCCGGCCAGAGCAGTATGTATGCTAGCCCTACTGCGTCGCACTTTTCGGAATCCAGGAGAGACTCTAATGCGGAGGCGGATTGGAGAAGACGCACCTGGCATCCTGGAGTGTACACCGGCCCTCGTCCAGCAACCAGCGGATTGGGCTATCACCAGACCCCCGATGCCCCGCGCCCTTCATTCACTTCGCAGCCAGCAGCCTCACAAACGACTAGACTCCCCGGCATCGAAAGCTTCGACTATGCCCCTCCTGCGCCCCTTCTTCCCCGGCGTCAACCCAGCCCGATGCAGATCGATGCTCCGATGCGTCCTCTGACCTACCATGCACCAACGGAGCACGCACCGGACAGAGGTCACCAGAAGCGCAAAAGCATATCCTGGGAACTGCAGAAGAACATCAATCGTCTTGACATCGCTGGTAGCCCAGTGTCGCCTCCGCAGCAATGGGCACACTACGTCGGTAGCTCTGGGCGGTCCAGCACCGGCCGGCCAACGACAGCACCACATGGCTACTTCAGTCAGCGGCAACCTTTGCATGCCTCTCCCTCGATCAGCGTGCCTCCCGTGGATTCTGGCAGATCTTCGCAGGAGCAGCCAGTGACGCCTCGCAAGAATAAAAGACAGGCCTGGTACAATGGACCTCTCACCCAACCGGCCCGAATCCTGCAACGCACGTCCCCAGAGGACTCGAGTAGCAGCGAGGGTGTCCCGACACCCGGCAATACTACTATGAGCGAGTATCATCCTGCAATCGTGCACAGCAACGGATTTGTCGAAGCACATCCTCCCGGCCGTCATGTGGAGGATCACAAGCCAGCTTCGATCATGGAGAGGCCACATCCACTCCATTCGCCGACATATCCACAGTACCACAGCCACAGTCTGTCCAGTTCAAGCTACCGTCCACAGCGCGAGCCCGAGCCTGGCTCCGTTGCTTTTGGTCAGCCCTTGCACCCGCCCGCTGCAAATGACATGAGACGATTGGAAGCGCTTGTAGCTGTTGCGACTAACGAACAGCAAGCCGTTGAAAACCGGTCCTAGGAAGACGAAGTTGCTCAACATGGCGAGCCTGCATCCCGCACTCTACTATCAATGACCACACGACTACCAACACCGTACACGCCGCTCACGATGTTACGACCACGATAAACGACACGAATCTCCTTCTTTTTAACGCGACGCTATACATCCCTGATCTGGTTCAGCACCATATGAAATGTTGTTTCACTCTTGTTCGGCCGATGGGGGCGGACCTCATTTGACGCTTTCGGAGATACCCATGGGCTTTGCTCGACTTCTCGAAATACCCAGATTCGGCATTTTGGTTTTGACGCGACGCAATCGCCGAAGGTTCCTGCATGCTTGTTTCGGTTCCTGTACTGCTGCTTCTCCGACTTTTAGGGATACCAAATCGTAACAGCGGGCGTTATCTGGGCTCTCGAGCCTTGTTGATTTACCTTTGCGTCCTTTCCAATTCATTCTTCTCCTTCTCCTTTACGATGGCTGTGGCTGTGGCGGTTCTGCAGGAATTGTGGTATGGTAATGGTATGTAGTGCTGCGTGTATAGTCTGACACCAAACCTCTGGCTTCTCATCGTAGCTCTGCCCAGGACGGAAATAAGTCTTGTCTGCGTGTGACTATTCACGACAGTGTTTGCCGCATGGAGGTGTGGCTGCGGGGGTGATTGGATGGGCAATGCCGCGCTCTGACTACGGCTGGTGCCGCTAGTGCATGTCGAATCCCAGAAACTTTGGGAGACTTTCTGGCACGCTTCGTACGACTGCAAAGGCTCCTGTCACTTCCCCACACGCCTACCCATCTGATAAATTGGCGTCATGTCGCTGTGTTCGAAGACGCTTCGAGCACTTTCGCAGTCCCGCATCCCGGCGTCGAGAACGCTGCTGCCGTTCCTGTACCAAACAGCGACCATGCAGCAACGGCAGCCCGCCACACGTCGTAGCATGTCGTCGCGGCCCACTGCCGAAGACGACATCCCGTTCGGGGATGCAGACGGCAATGTCCCGCCAACGGCCGACGAGCCGCGCTCCTCGCGCAAGACGACGATAACCGGCACCGAGCGTGCCGCGTTCGAGCAGCTGTACAGGACGGCCACTGCCCAGGGGCGGGGCCAGGCCAAGGACAGCGCTGGGGAGCACGAAGAGCTGGACCAGATCGCAGACGAATACTACGAGGACGACGACGACGGCTCAGCCGCTTCGTTGGACAAGGTCTTTGACACGGTCCTCCAGGGCTCGCTGCGGTCGCCGAACGCGCAGAGGGACCGAAGGAGGGCGCCGGCAAGAGAGGCTCGCAGCCCCATCCGACCGGGCCAGGAGCCTTCGTCGGCCAAGACGGACGCGCCGCAAAGCAAGAAGGCGCTGGCCAGACTGGCCGAGAAGGAGCGAATCAGGAAACTCCGCCTCGAGG